GTCAGCCAGCAGTTGGGGGTTAATAGCCCAGCAGTGAAAGCACTCTGCCGACCCTAAATGCGGGATCTGAACCGGCGACCGAGCGACCTAATCTGCGGAGCCACAGACGATACATCTACCGGTCTGTGCATGAAGGCAAATGAATCCGCATTAGCCCAAGGGTATGACATCGCTAACCTTTTCACCAGCTCCACTGCAGTCACGATGCGCGCCCAGCTACATGTATTCACGCCGTTCCAGCAAATTTAATCAAATTGGAAACATCTCTTGTCAAAAACGAACCAATAGCAGGACAATGGACGAATATTCGTTTCAGGGCTGAGGCACTGCGATCTGAGTATGGGTGACACTGCTCGTCACTGGGCAGCAGGGTGAAGAGAGAACCATATTAGCAACACTTAGCTGTCGCTACTTTAGCAAAAAAGAAATACTACTGAAAAAAAATCAAGGCAGCAGATCTGGACGTGACTCTTCAGCTCTACAGTGTGTTTCTGTCCACTAGTCTTGTCACCTGCTTCCTGACATTTGGAAGCGTGGGGGGGGGGGGGGGAGGGGGGACATGAGAGAAGCACATGATTCCTAATTGAATCCGGTGGCAGCTGCCTTCCCAGCAGGCTGTCATATCAGATCAGGTGCCCTCCCCCCCAGCTCTGCTCCAGGGCCTCGCTTAGCGCGCCATTGCCGTGCCGCCCCCGTGCGGCTTCTCAGCTCTGCGGACCACGCGGGCTTTACCACTCCCCACCGCCCCGGCCCTGTCCTGGGCCACCAAGCCCCACAGCTCAGCGAGACGGGGGCCCCCCTAACAGCACGTCCGCCAGCACCTTTTTGGCGGTAATTGGGGAGTATTCTGGAAACATTATGCTGTCAAATGCAGGACAGGAGCTGCTGCAGACCCCTAGAGAAAGATACTTAACCCAAACTGGCCAATTCAAATACCTATCTGCAGCCTCTCGAGTTTATATATAAACAGAGAATTTTAATAAAGACAAATGCCCTACGGTCCTGTTAGCATAACACATTTGAAATGCTTTAGTATGCATTAGGATACAGCACATTGCTAAAAATCATTTTCACATCACCAAATCGATATGCACTGTTTTGCATACACATCACACACACACCTGTATTAATTAAAAGAACTAAATAGATCACATTATCCAAAAAGTCCACAGAACCATACAGCAACCACAGCTACGTGAAGACCACTGCGGTGTTTTTTTGCCCAGGAAAACCAGTCAGATAAGTGACCACCACTGCTGTGAAATGGGCCACAGCTTACACAAGAGGTTCTGACATAGCAGTTGTTATGAATGCATTGCATAACCACTGAGGTGGTCCGACAGGCAGCTGCCTGAGTTTGGGCTCCAGCGTCCACCAGATACAGTCACAAGTCTCAAAATGGCAGTAAGGGTGTCAGGAGAACGCTCACGGCAGGGAACACAGGACAAGCGTTGCATCACCAACCCCCATCATGGGTACCCATGAGTCACCACCCGATGTCGATAATGCAACAGCAAATGTCAGACCAGTAACAGAAAATCTTGGATAAGAGGGAATCCCAGTAACCCATCATCACTATGACAACACAGAAAAAAATTAAAATCACGTGTACAATTTCTGTGGGGGCAGCAAATCTTGAGGAGCTAGACAGCTGATTCAGTTTGGGAAAGAATAATAATCCAAAACGATACTTCATTTGCCATGTTCACGAGTACAAGCACAGGTACACTGGAACACTTTTTTGCACATCCCATCTTGGTCTCCTTGGAGACGCATACACACATACACAGCTTGGGTCTGAGCACAGCGTTGGATCATTTATCTGGCACCCCTGGGGGATTTTAAGGGCCCAAGGACCTTGGTCAAGGGCCCACGAGCATGTGACAGTTCTACAGTAGCTGACAAAAATGTTGTGAGGGCAGAACAAAAAATGACTGGTTCCAAGTAGGGATGCACCGATTGCAATTTTTTGTTGGACGATCCCGATTACCGATTTTTTGGTATGTGCGATCGGCCGATACCGATTTTTCTGATACCGATTTTTGCCTTGAGAACAGCGAATACATACAAAATATAGATACATTTTCTTTACCTCAAAACTTTATTTTCATAACAAACTCTTATTAAACTTTACAAATTCAAATAAATTAAACTAAAACAAATAAATAACACCCCAACTAAACATCAATATATTCTTTAAAATAATAATAATAATAAAGGTGAAGTAAGTAAAAGAAAAATATGTAACAAGACACCTTTTTTGACTTATCACTTGAAATTCTATTTCTTGTTTCATCTACTAAACTTTACAAATTCAAATAAATAAATCTAAACATCGATATATTCTTTAAAATAATAATAGGTGCAGTAAGTAAAAGAACATCTCTTGGCAACATATTATGAAACAAAATGCCAATTAAGCATTAATGGCAGGTTTCTTTTTATGAATAGAAACATTTCTACCTTGTCACCTGAAACTGTATTTCTCGTCTCATCTATGACATGTCCAGCCAAGCTAAACAAGCGGTCACTCTCAACACTTGTACATGGGGCAGAGAGGTAGGCTTGGGCAAGTGAAGCAAGTGCATGAACAAGATCGGTTTGTAATCGGAAATACGGGAGACTTATCGGCCGATCACCAATCAGGCCAATCTGGCTGAAAATCGGCCCATTCCAATCGCTGGCCGATCGATCAGTGCATCCCTGGTTCCGAGAGATAACCAATCAGGGTGGAAGGTGGGTCCCAGCAACTAGAGGAGGCGGGACCAAGACATCTGATTGGTTGATCCTGCCTCCGCTAGCTGCTTGAATGCACCTCCTCTACAATATGATTGGCAGTCTCTCAGAATCAATCATTTTTCCTTCTGCTCCATCCTTTTTGTGTAAATAAAATTCCCATGAGCACACTGGATGTGCCGAAGTCGTATCCCACGTACAACCACGTTTCGGCAGAACAGCAGAGTAACGGGGCGCCGGCTACTCCACGGCCGACCTGTTCAACTCACCGGAGCACATTGAGGCCAGCCAACCGTGAACGTGGAAGGCAGGCCTTCCGGGTAATCGCTCCGGGATCCGGATCAAGCATCAGAACTCGCTTTAGAGGAATCGTGCGGGCGACTGTTTCCTTCAAAGCAGGAGAGCCCAAAGGAATCACCAAGACCTGTGCTTTTTATGTCCAGGAGGACGTTTCTCCACCAGGTTTGTTTGCCTGTATTCTTCTCCTAGGATACAGCTGGAGAAGGCCTCCACCAGGAAGAAATACCAGAAAACACACCTCACAGCTTGCTGCTCACTGCACAAAAATTGCCTCTCCTAAGACTGCCCCACTATAAAAAGTACGGACTGGAAAAATACAGCAAAATGCCCCATCTACATTAGGAGGCCCAGCCCACTTGCGATGGCCCCGCCCACATATTACAGATATATCAACATATCCCGCAACCATGGTCACTGAAAAGGTGGGGGGGGGGAGAAAGGGAAGGACTTTCAGGGGCCCAGACACTAGGGGGCAGTCATGAGTGAGTGAGCATGCATAATGATAGCTTTGGTAGAATTTCTGGGGCAAAGTCATGTCTTTGTGCGGCTCTGTATGCAACAACCGGTAAGAAGAGTAGAAAGCCTGCACTGCTCACCAGTACAGTACTCATTAAAAATCAACCACACGGTTACACTCGTCCCTCTTCTAATCAACTCCACAAATGCTTCCGTAACGTGATTGTGGAAGCCCTGCGCTGCACAGACATTATATAATAAATTAATATGGAAGCGGCACGCCACACATCTCTCATTGGCCTCTTGCTGCCTTCCCACCATCACACTCGCTCATCGATGCAAACCCAGCATAGAAAAACACCTCCGAGTCGATGGATCCAGACAACATTAAGGTGAGGTTGAAACGCTACGTGTGTCAGCATTTCTAATGACAGGAAGACTGTTACGCTGGAAGCGTAGTCGTGTCCAGCTTATGAGTATTACTGTTGTAATGTCAGGCCCCTTGGCAGCAGGCTGATACACAACCAGAGGAAGGAACCATTGGCAAGTCTTAGCAGCTAGCAGGCACTGTTTGCTTTCCCCATTACCGGTTGCTTATTCAGTAGCATAATAACCCAGCAAAACACACCCACAACATGAGCCATGTGCCACAGAACCAATGACAGAGTTAATGACTGTGCTCATGACTGAAACTTCGCATGGCAGCAAGCAGCAGTTCTTTCGAAAGAAATGTTATTCAAAAGAAATGCAGATTAAAGTGCGGATACACATCAGGTCCCCGAGGCTGACGCTCGCTAAGTAACATGGAAAGCAGCAGAATGCATTGCAGCATTTTCCTGTTATTGAAAAACTGCAGAACTGGGGCTCAGTGACACACACACACACACAGGACCCTGTCTACATTACCGACACCTCCACACATAATGACAGACACGTGTTAAGAATGCAGACTTCCCACCTCCCCCAGAAGTCTTGGGAGTCTCCTGCAAATTAACAGCAGCTCCCTGACACCTATGAATAATGCGGAATGTCCCAAGAATCTGTTATTCTGCCTATTAACAACAGTTTAAAAAAAAAGTAGTTCAGCAAATTTTCACACCCACCCTGGGCACATTTTAACCGCCAGCAAAACCCCCTTCCCGGTACTAACTTCATCCTCCCTGAAATCAGTGTGGCAAAGGTGGGAAACCTGGGAACATTGTCACAGTTAGGGTTGCAAAATTCTGGAAATTTTCCGTTTAGTTCCCATATATTCCCATTAATTCACATGGAAAGTTTCCATCTTGGAATACTTCCAAAATTCCCCAGCTTAACTTCCCATGGAATGGAAAGTTTCTGGAAAGTTTATGGGAAAATTTCTGCCCCTTTGCAACCCTATCACAGTAGATAAAGAAATCGCCTCAGTGCCAACAAGAACCACAAGCCAACACATGCAATAAAAACCTTTCTGATGTGTATTTTAAAGCAAAAACAAATTAATAAATAAACAGACAAAACAACAGGCTCACTTTTTGTCGGTCTGGTCGAGGCCACTGAGCTTGATTCCCTCAATCTGCGCATTGGGCTGTCCACACGTGTTCCCATAGCTGTCGTAGCCAGATATAAGTCTGCCGGCGGCCCCGGTGATGATGGCGTAGCCACAGATGGAGCCCTGGGAGATGGCAAGGAGTGAACATGGTCTTCAGGAAGCACTCACCCATCCCTGAAGCATTATCACACTGCCACAACCCCACCCACAACTCCTAAGCAGGACTGACCCATTCAGCCTTTGGTTTGCCATCAGAGGACCTTACATTGCCTACATTTTATCACTTACTTGCTATGCATGCACTTTCTTTCTACAGGAAATAAAAAAATCACCATTACAACACTTCACCAGTTTATACACCTGAATGCACTTTTTGAAATAAGCTTGGGGGGGGGGGGAGTTTACAACACTGCAAGCGCTGGCACTTATTTCATTTCCCATTTCATAATACATCTCTGAGTTGCGCTGAAGCAATCTTGAGAGGGACCACTATTATCCGTGAGCATGGTGTTAGCATACGACTCAGCAGGTAATCCATAAAAATATATATATTTTAAGAAGCAGGCCACCCTGGTGTGATGTCTACAGTCTTGTAAAGAAAGCCTCACAAAAACAACGACGGTGTTATCACATCTTTTACGTGCCAGCAAAATCTCAGTACCGCAACGCGTAGCTATTTCACTGTAGATCACCAGCAATTTCCCTCCCAGGCTCCCTGGCGAAACAGCGGGAAATGACTAGTCCCGTTTTAATTTGAACACTTAATCAATCGCAACATCAGTTAAATCTGCAGTTACTGGAGCTAGTATAGAGAATAGCATAGGAAAGCAGCAGACTGCAGATTTTTATTAACTGAATTATATTAACTGAATCACAACATGCACATGTCGACGTGAAAAATAACCTCAACAGATTTACCTACGACATCACTGCGCTTCACCGAACCGGGGACTCACCATGCCAACACAGAAGGCTACGAAGATGAGGAGCCAAGCGACATCCGTACAACTTCTGTCTTCCAGGGGCTTCCATTCCCTCCTTGCCCTCTGCAATGATGTCAATAAACCGCCTGTCAACAAGAGCTTCTTCCAGAGGGGGTCATTTTCTGGGTGCCACGCTTAGCGCGCATCTTTAAGGCAAACCGCCTGGCAACGCCTGGGTCACGAACTCTGAACCAGAAGCCGGTTTAAGTTTTGCACATTTCATTTTCACGCAATTTATGTTTTTGTCTTTAGATAAAGACTAAAACCCGGCTCACAGGTACGACCTTTGCGGCAAATCCCCTAACGTTAAGCGAAGAAACGGGGTCATATTGTTTACTTTGCATCGCTCTGTGCATTAAGAAATGTATGGCGATCTTAATACTAGTTTTACCCCCTGACGCTAGATCTAGTGATGTCTCAACAAAAAGGGAAAAGTATAGCTAACGACGAACATAAAATGCATCTCGGGCTACAGCCGTATGTACATGCATTACCACCCTGCTAGAAAATTAAAGGGATTAATCTAGCGCGCGCAGAAGGTCGCCCATGAGGGAAATAAATCTGTGCACGCGTGCCAGCTGCAAGGTGGGCGAAGCAACGTGCCCACATCGCGATCCGCTACGATGTTTACACGCTGCCCACCCTCCTGGGGCTGGAGGGAGGGGGTGGGGGAGTTAAATGGACTCCTTACCTCTGCACTACCGCAGCATCCCATCGCGAAGAGCCCAAACCGCACGAAAACAAAAGCCAAAACTTGCAGGGAGTCGACGGCGTCTGTTTACCCTGCATAAATCGGCCCCCGGCTCCCGGTTTTAACGGTAAGCGAGAACGGAAATGTCATGCAACCGGCCGCCCCATTCCCCAGCACATCACTCGGCGTCGGCCGTCTCCCTCCAGGTAAGGAGGATTATTACTTTGGGATTTATCGTGCCACACTTCCTGGTGGGTTTCGCAGGTGTAGCCGGAAAAGGAATATTTCAGCCACTCAGTACCTGAGCTCCGCAGTCTATAGTGGAAGGGATTTGGGGGGAATGATGGGACACTGGAGGAACCCGCGATTTTCAATCGCAATCTGCCGATGTGTTTACCTTAACGAAGGGCTGCGCGGCATTTTAGTGCCATCTGTCCTCTGTCTTTAGCATTACATTTCATGAGCACGAAAATAGTTTACCGTTATATAGCTTCCATGCCGGATAACTGTTTTTGCGGTACCTAATCAATAAAGAAGTAATGTTCTGAAATGATTTGCACACCAAATTACAAATACCTTTACTTTATATATCTGAAAACACTTTCTTGTTTCCTCCTGAAACATGTCATGCACTTACTTGTCCTTTATAATCTGATGTTGATTTCTCATTACCGTATTGTAGTTTAGGTTCCTTCAAATACGAACATATGAATTCGTGAATTAGCCTTATAGACAATCGCCTGAAATCAAGTTAAAACCACGAAAGTGGCAATTTCTAAAACAAACTAATTATAACTCCATTCCCTTATTTTCTGACAGAAATTAAAAAGTTTTCGTGCACTTCTCGTATGTTAGTATGCGTGGTTACTTAGCTGCATGGTGCGAGAAGTTTTTTAAAAAATCCACCTTTCTTCTGGGCTTTGGCTGATGGGAAACTCCCGCGGTTCCTTTCTGTTCGCTCATCTTCCTTGCACTGTAGCCTTATGCCCGGGGAATAGCAATGTCCCGAAGAGCATCGTCAGTGACAAAAAGAAGGCCATTGTTCTGTTGTTCACTGTTGTACCAGGGGGGCATGAGCACGGTGAGGGAATGTGCGTGTGTGTATGTGCACGTGTGTGTGTGCCTGTATTGTGAGTTCATTCCACCATTTTAGCACGTAGAGCTGTATTAAATGGGCGTGCATGCTCAGTCTGTGTCCTCTCATCTGTCACACAGGGGTCTGTGTGTGAATATGCAGGAATGGGGCACATTTTCGACTGGCAGTGCCAGGAAGCCAGAACAGTAGGATCTCATATATATTTGCCAGATACTTCCCTCCAAAGTGATTTATAGAGCACAGTAAAAGAAGATCATGAGCACAAATAGATCCTGTGTTTTTGAAATGTTGCTACCTATGTGGTCAATAAACAAGCAAGCAAATAGATGGACATGTATCCATAAAATAATGTGCCAATAAAACAGACTATGTCAATTCAAAATTGCAGGGGAAAAAATCTCATGTTATTGCTCATTCAGAGAAAAAATTCAAGGCTTCAAAAGGATGTAATTTTAAGTAAAAAAATACAGAGATGCGAGCTCTTATGCGTGCAGTCAGCAAGAGTCTCTCTGAAAGCTGATAAGACTGTAGTCTTGAGACAGGAAAAGCTCACACTGAAGAAGAGGCTAAAAAAAACATTAAATCAACATAGTAAAGTCTGTGACAACAGCTAAAGACACAAACATGGGTAAATCGGACTTATGCATCACCTTCAGCTGGGCTGGTGATGGGTATTTATGCATTTATAAAGCTATAAATAATACATTTTATGGGGTCACCCTTGGCTGGGGCTGGACTGGGATTAAGATTCAGCCCTGGACCCTTGTTCCACAAGGGGGGGGGGGGTGGTTACATTATGCTTACCCGGGGGCGGGGCAGGTTCGGATCCGTATGCCTGGCTGCATGCCTGGTTCCTAGTATCTTACGACCTTCGTTTGAAAAACTGCTTAACAAATACATTCCCTTATCTCAGTTTAGCACATAGTGGGCGCTCTTGCTCCACTAAAAAGCTTCCACGCTTGGTTGAACGGATGATGAAAAATAAACACGAGCACATGACATGCTGTGAATATTCTCCACTTCAGCGTGTTGGAGCAGAGAAATAGAATTGGCAATAATATGTAATCTTTATCTCATCCACAGAGGTACAATTTCATTTTATATGCTTAACTATATTTAATACGTTTCATTGTGTATATCGATTTTATGGCAATGATATATAGCTTATTCATATTCCAATATAGGAAAGAGAAATTTCTAAATACTTTCTATAAATACTGATTTTCATTATTAACAGAGATGTTTTGCAAACTGAACACAAGAGTGTTGAGAGAACCATATTTTTGCTACATCATTATCCAGATCCGTCAGTCCTTACCCAAAATGTTGCATAAGCGGCATTTTAGCAGGATAATGTATTTGAAAGCCCCAGGGTGGTTATGAGCCAGAATCCTGTAACGTATTTGCCCACATCTGTATGCTATTGCAACACTCAATCAGTGTCACAGACAAACCAAGGAACAGCACATGACTTAACATGTACGCACGCAATCGACACTCAGTGGTCAGGATGCAAGGGAGAAGAAATGCTGAATTTGCTGTTGCACAATCCGTCGTCCATCCACCCATCCATCCATTTGCCATATCCGCTTGTCCTAAGCAGGGTCGTGGGGGTCTGGAGCATATCCCAGAAAGTACAACCCACAAGGCATGTGCCAACCAGGCACAGGATGCCAGCCAGGCATGGGGCACCCACCAATCACAGGATCAGTCAATAAAAAAATATATATATTTAGTATGTCTCTTTTTAAAAGTGAGATACTTTACAGTAGATGTTCCAGAGGAATAATTAGTGGTAACACTTTACATTGACTGCACCTTCATAATGACTTTATAATGTATTCATAGAACATTCATAAGCAGCATATACGTATAGCTTAATATTCTAACATATCTTAACAGCTTTAATACATGTTGATGGCAAACATTATACAGTTGCGTGGCAATGGTTGCTATTATCATATAATATTTGTCATTAATGATTTTTAAAGCAGTTAAGGTATGTTACGATGTTAAGGTATGCTTATATGCTGCTTATGAATGTTCTATGAATGTATTATGAAGGTGGACTGAATGTTCTATGAATGCATTTTGAATGCATAATGAAGGTGCAGTCAATGTGAACCATTACCTAATTTGTTTAAACAGAGAAGCTAACTGGCAAAAGTAGAGAAAGCTTCAAACAAGGAAACTAAATAATACTGTTGGCACATAGCACTAATGTGGAAATCAAAGATCACAAATACACTGATAAGTACCTGGGAACCTGATTGTTATCAGTGACTGGGGGGGGGGGGGGAATTGTGGTCAGGTGATGTAACTTCTGGGGGGAGGGGACCAAGGATGGGCCAATGCAGGTGACATCGTCCTTACATTTTATCATTATTTTATCAGATCCTTTCTCTGTACATTTATGAAGCCAAGATATCCAAGTCCAACCGGTGACCTCGTGACCCGCACTTCATTACCCAGCTTGCGTAATGGTGTGTATCTCAGTGGGTTTGGAGTGCCGCCCGTGATTGGATGGTCGCTGGTTTGAATCCCGGGGCCGTTCGAGTGATTTTTGCCGTTGAGCTCCAGGGAATGCTTTCAGGGGGGAAAAAAATGTACGTTACGTTGCATTAAACTGTCTGTTAAATAAATAAGATGTAAATGTTGATGGGATGCCAGTCACTGAAGAGCAGGCAAATACACCACGTTTGAATCCAGCTTCTTCCATGTGTAGCGAAATATTAACATCACCCTCTTGGTGATTCTGGGCTTCTCCTGGGAATCACAGGTGCAGCACACCCCCGACAAGACGCCCAATACTTCACAAGAAAATCTCACACATATCATACTTACATATTCAGGAGGTCGGTGTATTTTCAAGATGTGCTGTAAGATCAGTAGTATAGACTACTACTGCACGCAACTCAAAAATATCCGTATGTGACTTAGTTAAGATTTCTACATATTCATATGACTGAATATATCACCAAAGGTATTATTAAGTCCAGTATTTTTAACTTATGAGCATAACATCAAGGCTCCTTTCTGGGGCTAGAACCTTTTATGTGAAAGACAAAGCACTAAAACCCCTGCAGGAAAGATGACAAAGAACTTCTATGGTTGCAAAATCAGGAATATTAATTCATTACAGCTCAGACAGATGTCTTTAATTGCCGGTTTAGGAATCACCATTTGTACCTTTTCCATTGTTTACTGTCAGTGACGTGTGATTGTTTAATAAGATTTTCCACGGTTTCACAATCTCTTACGTGGGCCTCGGAATCCACGATGTAGCGACTGGCTGAAATAAAGTCCACGTTTGTTCGTAAATGTTCGCTCAGACTGAAACATAAAAACGTTTTGTTCAAGAGTCGAGTCAAATTTTATGCCAGATTTACATAAGAATTGAAGAACTGATGACAGAATATTAGTGTATTGAAAAATGAATACTTTATTTTCTATGGACAATACTGGCCTATATTCTTTTCACAGCGGTTGAATCTATATTGTCATAATTACCATACCAACTACTGTTTGTGACTATTTATCTAGTATTTAGATAATAATACACCATTTAACCTGATTCAAACATCATTTATATGTATACCATTCTTGTATTAAACTATAGGCCTACATGAAAATGTAGCTTACGTTTGCATTTTAAATTTCAGAATTGTTTTGCTATGACATTTTTCAACAAAGAACACTAAATATAAAGTGGTAAGATCGTTAGTAAACCTTGGGTTCCTTTAAATCAGAGCTAGATACAATTTTAATAACTTTAAGCTATTAGTTGAATTCTCCCCAAACGAGCTTAATTGGCCGAACAGCCTCCTCTCACTTGCAAATTTGTGATATTCTTATGAATTAATTGATCATCTTGTGACCTTTATATGCTATTTTTAAACACAGCACAGTTAGTTATGAGACAAGGTCGTTTGTAGCCAAACAAGCACCTGACTGCACAGAGAAGTCACAAAGCAATAAACCAACGCCAAATTCAATAATAGTACGGACACCACTTGTATGATTTCGCTGATCTAAAATTAGACCCCTTAAATGATCAATGTTAAGTGCTGCGCCATTTCAACACTATCGACCAACATCCCTGGCCTGCTTGCCTGCTTCCTGATTGCGGAAGCAGCGGATGAGACGGATGATTCCCATGAAGTTACAGCCGGAATATTTTCATATGAACCTAATGCATAGTTATCAATTTACATGGATGCTGTATTTATTTTCTATACTGCGTATATCTGGAAGGAAGGCCCCGCCCACCACAAGGGCTCTTGCACCCAGTTTCTGTGTTTAAACACATTAAGCGTTGGGTTACTTTGTAATTCAGAGATGGTCTCTAATGCTTCTGTAACCCACTCTATAGAGGATCATTTGAAACTGTATTTAAGCAGTCAGTCCTATTCTTTAACTGATGAACTGAAAGACACCTGCGTCCCTTCCCCCACTGTCCCTTAATTTTGCAATCTATATCACAGCTCTGAGTTGCCGATGTGGTTCCAGGAATCCAGACAAAGGCGGCAAGGTCAGCGTGTTCTGCTCTCTTTTTAGTGTACATTCACAGGCTGAGTTGGTATGTCAAATGCGGTTATACGTCACTCATCATAATGGTCGCTGGACAAAGAAAAGTATCTTTTAAGGAGTGGCTTTTATGACTTTCTTGTTAAATGCTACTATTTTTATTCCTTTTCAGCTACGCAGAATCTAAAAATCCACTCACTGGGACTGTGGCTCTGGTAAACTATGTTTTGAAATATATGT